ATGTTAGATTCGCAATTTCTGCCACAGTCGGTGAACAATGCATGGAAGAGGAGAGTTTAGGTATCGATCCTTGTTAAGCAGTAAAGATAATGAGGAGATCTACACTTCCAAGACCAGGTTAATGACCCATCTTCACTCAAAGGAGGAATGGTCAACGGACACAGTCAGGAGAGGAGGATCAACCAATATTTAGACGGATGGATCGAAACTCAAGAAAAAAGTTGGTGGTGGGGTATTACTCGGAACAGTTTTGCATATCGTTGACTGATGGCTATCTCAAAAGCCGCATCACTGGTACTGTGTGGTACGAGTCCTAGTTAAGATGTCTAAAGTATATTGACATGAAATCACTGATAGCCATGCGGCTATTAAATCTCAGGGAAAAATGTCCCTGACTTCAAAAGTAGTTGCTCAACGCCACCGATCTCTTAACGATCACAAGGCTGACGAACTCGCAAGTCATGGAACGAAATTGCCTGAAACAGATATAAGGGATACTCTCGGCATCGCTCTTCAAACATGTCAATTTATACAGAAAGAAGCATTCATAGAAATGGCACTGGGGCCAGCCATAATTGCTCAACGCACTAAGCCTCTGTTAATCTAAAGATCCACGTAGCTAGACTGGGCGCACCCTGAAAAGACTACTGCACAAGCTGCATGGATGAGGAGAAAGAAGAAACCATCCCACATCTTCTCTGCCACTTCCCGGCTCTTCTCGATGACCTCAAAGCAATGAATGCTAGAAGGTGTTCATAGTGGAGCGGGGATAAATGAAAACCTCGTTCGGTATCACAAAGAAACCTAGTCTAAGTGAGCCATATAGGACTACTAAAAAGTATGATTTTTATGAATTAAAAAAAGCTGTAACAGAACTCCTCAAAAAGAACTTCTGATGTACATACGTCCAAGAAAAGCCCTTCTATGGATATCGGATGCAGAAGCCGGTTTCGATCGAAAGTGGGTTAAACTGGCCGGAAGTCAATTTTTTTTTTTTTTTAAAGTAGAACATACATGTTTCTATATTAAGCTCGGAATTTGTGGACAGAAATACATAGCTTTTGCTTCTAAATTTTTTTTCTCGAAGTGCCTTTTTTAACTTTGAATGGCCTTCGAATTTCAACTCGTCCTGGACTTAAAAAAAATGAACGAAACTGTTTTTATAGGAAAAAATTAACTACCAATTGGAGGGTGCTCTATCTTTTGTTCAAATTATCAACCAGAAGTCAAGTTTTTTAAATGGGGCATGAATGCTTTTTCCAAAGATATGTTTTAGTTTTCCAGTAAACACTTTTTTGTCCATTTTAAAAGTTCAGAACGAGTGGAAATTCGAAGATCATTTAGGGGTTGAAAAAGGCACTTCCGAGAATAAAGTTTAAAAATTAACGTATTTTTATTTATTTTTTCGGGCCAGTTTTCAAAATATCTTTTTGTTATTTTAGGAGCTTTTCCGGCCGGTTCTTTTCCAAATAAATAAAAACAGAC